AAAAAAACACAAGAAAACAAACAAAAACTTTTAAAAACTTTTTCAAAATATTCTGTACACATAATTTCACCCAATGTGATTTTGGGTTTGACTGTTGATTTTGTCAGTGATTTTTCTTATTGTTAGATTTCTTCATGAGCCTTTCTCTCTTTGCACACTCATTTCGGAAGGGGGAATCTTTGTGTGTGTGTGTCTTCTTCCCTTCTGTGCTCCCCCTTCTCTACGTAGCCTTTTTTCACTTGCTTGTACCTGCTCTCCAGACCCTGACCTAGATCTGGTCGTGGTTTGGAGGTGATACTGGGTTTCTCTTTTTATATTATATACATTGTTATATTATATTATTATATATATTATATATTATTGTATTATATGCAGGTACTTCCAAAAGTTTGTGGAAAGATTTGTATTATCTTTTAATTCTATTTTTCCATGAACTTTTGGAAGTACCCCATATTATTATACTATTTCATGTTTTAAATGGGGGACAGACATGCGATTTGTCAAAATACCTTGATTCTTCCTGAAGTGGCCTTCCATTCCCTAGAGTAGCTCCTGATCCTCTCCACTGGATGATGGAAATCCTGGGTGTGTGTGTCCCTGGCTGTACCTTATGCTCTGTGATTACACTGAGTTTGTGACTGAACAGGCCACTCAACTTCAAGTTATATTATGAAGCACAAATACTTCTCTGATTTTTAGCTATCTGTTGCGGTTAATGTACAGTATGAATGTCATAGCACTTTCTGACTGGCTTACTTTCTTTTTTCCTCCTGCATAGACTATTCTAGAAAAACTGGAAGGAGAGTTACAGGAAGCCAACCAGAACCAACAAGCTTTGAAGAAAAGCTTCCTAGAGCTGACAGAACTCAAATACCTCCTGAAGAAAACCCAGGACTTCTTCGAGGTTGTTATTTAGGGACTATTTATTAAAGAGTTTTTTCCTCAGAGCCTCAATCTTCCATTTTGGACACTGGAGGGTTTGGAGTATGAATAAATCTCTCCGTGTCTGTCCAGTGGTGAGGCTGTTGGTGAGGGGAGAGGAGTCAGGTGAAGAAACTGTAGTGCTGGAGGAATTGGAGGCAGAAACATTACGGTGCTCANGGTCTCAAAAAGGACAAAAAGAAAAAAAACTTCACTGAAACCAGACAAAACCTTGAGGTGTGGGGTGCTTTTTAAGTTATTCTAAATACATTGAAATGAAAGGAGAGGTGCTTTGACTTTCAGACGGAAACGAATTTAGCTGACGATTTCTTTACCGAAGACACTTCTGGTCTTCTGGAGTTGAAAGCTGTGCCTGCGTACATGTCTGGAAAGTTGGGGTAAGTGGAACCCCGTGTCCTGATGGTTAGTGTAGATGGGTCTCTGGTCCTTAGCTCGACAACTAGCGCGTGATATGAGGGTACTTCGAAAAGTTCATGGAAAGATCTGTGTTATATTTTCATTCTATTTTTCGACGAACTTTCTGAAGTACCCTGGTACATTTCCATGAGTGTTTGAGTGAATGAATGAGAACAAATAGCCGCTAGAATGAGGACCATTTCCCGTGAATCTAAGGCCTCGGCACAGCAATAACCCCAAGTGTAACCTCGTTAGGTTGGTGGTGGAGTTGGAAGTAGTGTTACCTTTTTGTTAACAGTGACACTAACATTCTTCAGCCCGAAGAGTGCAAACGTTTAAATGAGGGGATTCAAAAAGTTCATGAAAAGATTCGGATTATTTTTTAATTCTATTTTTCAACAAACTTTTTTTTTTTTTTTTTCCTAAAAGATGACCGGTAAGGGGATCTTAACCCTTGACTTGGT